TTACGAAAAATAGTGATTATTGGGGCGACTAAAAATATATTCAATTAAATTCGTCGTTAGTACATTGTGAATCTCTAGGCTTTGGATTTCTTAGTGGTTTCTTCATTTCTTTTCTTCATTGATTTCTTCGTATGTACGCATCTCCTCGTCTGTGTTGTGATGACATGTTGCAAGCTCGTAGTCCTCTATGATCATATTATGAAGAGTAATATATATATATATATATATATATATATATATATATATATATATATATATATATATGCGTACATGATATTCCTCATTTTCGTTTGAAAATAACACTTGGACGAACGATCTAAAATGTGTCATTTAACCTTCAACACTCCAAATGCTCATTTGATATCTTTTCTCACCGCAAGATAATATTCACGCTTGTACGACGTCCTTCTAAGCTCAAGAGATGAGTTGGATGTGTCTCCTTAATCAAATCGTCAAAAACAGGTGATTGATCAAGAACATTGATGTCGTTGTTCGAGCCCGCAACATCAAAAAAAGCATGCCAAAACATAAGTCATTAAAGCCACAACTTCGAGTATAATAGTAGGCTTGGGATGATCACCCCGGGATGCCTAGCTTGTAACTGTTCAAAGCCCATCGTTGTCGGCTTATGTAAATATGTCTTATGATAAAGTCGAATAATAGTTTTAGAAAATTTATAAACACATGACCTGATGCTCCGAGCCGACATCTTCAAATATTCATCGAACATATTAAGTATCGTCTCGTACGCCATTTGACAAAGCGCGAATGTGCACATTTGGATGCTCCTAAAACTGCATCGGCCTCGTGTTAAATATCGGCGAGTATGCGTAAAAAAGAAAACAACTCATTCGAAAATGATTACTAAAATCCTCCAGTGTAAACGCACGGAGTATTGTAGTCGTTGAGTAGTGAATCGTGTGCAGCTGCCTGATCACGATTTAAACACCCACGTCAGGTCTGCGTCACGACGATTCTGCTTGTTCTTGTTGACTTTGTTGCCACCATTGATAACAACTCTCGCAAAACAACGAAAAATGAAACCTCTCTTTTCATTGTCAGATGATGATCCCATTTTTTAAATATTTTAAAGATAAGAAAATACACATCTTAGAAATGTATAATTTTGAAATTATTCTCTAATTTTCCAAGGAGGTAAAATAATTTTATTTTCTTCCTTCAAATTTTCATCTTTATTTTCTTTCCTATCTAAAAACTTTCCCACACACGGTTAGAGAGGGAAGGGATATTTTCTACGGAATAAAGCACGACTCCGTTCAAAAATAGCAATACGGCGTGGTAATTAAGACTTTTGAAAAGAATGCGTGTTTGAAAATTACTTGACAAGTAAACTTTACTTCGTAGGGAGTATAATATTTGCACTAAATAGCAATAAACTTAAGTCATTTCCCTAAGTAATATTTAAATTGTTTTATTTCTTAAATAATACTTAATAATGTCTATAATGTCATGTGATGGCAGATATTTGCTTGAAGAATGACTAATGCATAATGACTAAAAATGCTACATTGGGAAGAAAAACACATGTGGTGTTATTTGGGGAAAGTCATTATGTTTTAGTGTTATTTAAGTAAATTTCTCGTATTAAATACTCCTTCCATTCCAAATTATATTAATTATTTACTATCCGTATGATTAAATCCACTCACTTTTTTTCCTTATTTTCGTTATTCATTCTTTAAAATAATATAATCATGTCACCACTAGTTTTGTAGATCTTTTAATGTAATTTTTAAATATATATTTTTTATTTTTAAATTATACACCATTTTCATATAAAACGATTCAGTCAAACACTGTAAACCAAAGAAGACGATTTAAATTGAGATGAAGGGAATAACTTGATTGTGTCAAACCATTAAAATGATTTTTCTTCTCTTTCTCCGAGAGAAATGCTAGAATCACCAAGAAGAAAATAAAAATGCATAAATTTACGTTTAATGCATTCTAATTTTTTAATTATTTTAAGAGGAATCACATGGGTAATATTTGATATAAATGACTAAATATGAAAAAGCTTTATTATAAAAGACCAATAATAAAATTTACTTTTTTTAATGATATTCATAAATAACACATTTATCATTTATAAATTTTGTAAGTATTTTCTTTGTGACTCTAACATTTCTCAGTCTGAAACACTTTTTCTTCTAGTGAACTAAATAAAAGCACCCCTTGTTTATTGGAAGATTAATAGTGCATTAGCTTTAAGAAATAAAAATGAATTTTGTTTGGTTCAAACGGATGAGGGAATTTTATGTACTCCATAACTTACTAGGGGACCATGCTAGGATGCTACCTCATCTGTGTTTGTCTGTGCGAACTATGGGTGCACTCATGGTAGCACCCATGTGCACCCTAGCATTTTCCAACTTACTATCACACAGAGTACACATTTATTTGCAAAACCAATGAATCATAGGTCAAAAAGTCATAACTATATATTTAGGAGTTACTCCTCTCCATTTTAAATGGTTTATTTACTATTCACAAAGTCAACTTTATTCATTTTCTTTTTCTATTTTCATTAGTTAGTATGTCACCATTAATTTTGTAGATTTTTTGATATAATTTAAAATAAATATTTTTATTTTTTTAATTCTACACCATTTTCATATAAAATGATTTAAAAATAACTTGAATCAACCATCGTAAACCAAAATAGGCACTTAAATTGGGACAAAGGGAGTACGATACATTTTACGGAGTAAAACAATAACAAATCTAACTAAATAAGAGTAAAATATTGAAGTGTTGGAACAGTAAGTCCATGATCTAGTAGAGATGAACAAAAGGACTGATGCGGTCTGACTAAAACGGTCTTTTGAAAAGACTGCTACAGTAAAGAATTGGACCGGACTAGTCTTTTTAAAAACCCGGTCCTAACTAGTCCGCTCTTCTTATCAAAATCAAAGACCAAATAAGACCAATAGTCCAATCTAGTCCGATCGGTAGTCAATCCGGTCCGGTCTCTAGTTCCAATATATTGGGCCAAGATTGCAGTTTGCGATGTTGTGCCAGGGTTAAGAAATAGTCCATCAACTCTTTTCGGATCGGCTGAGATTGCATGTTGCACCTCGCTCGCTCAATCGCTGATTCTCTAGGGACATCTCTAGGGACTAGCTCTACTCCTCTAGGACCGAGTGTTATGACATTTGAGTTTATGTTGAAACTTTAAGAAAATACTTAGGGGATAGGGGAAGCTCAGATTTATTAATCATTTCTAATTTTATTACTCTATATTATTTTTTAAAGATTTTTATACATATTACTTCGTATATACTATTCCCTATATATTCCGTAATTTACAAGTAATATAATTAGACTCTAGAGGACTAGTTTTTTGGACTAGTCCTAGAGTCTTTAGACCAATCTTTTACTAGTCTCGGGCCGGCTCAAGTCCTTAACATGTCTTTTACTAGTCTTAGACTAGTCCTAGTCCCCTATAAATATTAGGAACATTTGAGACTACTAGTCTTCGACTAAATTAGTCTCAAGGACTACTTCGGTCCCAATCTTTCAAGTCCAAATCCTAGTCGGTCTCGGTCAATTTTTTCGGTCCCAGTCTTTATGCTCTTCTCTAATGATCTAGCAAAATATTGAAATGTTAGAATACACTTTCTTGGAACTTGCTACATGATACAATGCTAGATCAATTTGCACATAGTTTCTTAAAATGAATTCTCATATAAAGTTTTTGTATGTTGAGTTGGGAATCTAAAGTTTTGGTAAAATTAACAATTGAATGTGCTTAAGCTATTCTAAACTCCAATTTGAACAACCACATGTGTGGCATATAGCAATAACTTAATAAATGAGCAATAAGCTCTAAAATAGGCTATAACAAGGATAGTATACGACTATACGCCTTTATGCCCAATGTTCGTGCTAAGAGGTTCTAAAAGTTAGAATCTTGTCTTCCCAGACGGTTATGGGGAATAAGATCACAATTAGAGGACGGGTAGCAATTGAAGAAGACGATCCAAGGCCATTGTTGTTCGGATTGGACAACAATGAGAAATAGGCAATTCAAATTGAGAAACTAGTAATGTCCCTTTTGTTCAAGTAATTATGGTATAAGGAATGGGTTTAGCACCTAGTTTTTTTGTTGAGATAACCTCGAGAATAACCTCTCTACCTTGACGTAAGGATAAGGTGTGACACACCCTAAACCCTACTTCTGTTGTATTCTACAGAGTTTGTTTGTATGTTGTTTGGGAGAAATAGAAAAGCACACCAAACCCATACCTAAAACTGTATCCAAACCCCCCAAAATCGCACCATCACCCAACCACTCCCCCCCCCCTCCCCTTCCGGTTTTAGTAAAACCATTTCATTCTCCCCAATTCACAACCTCCTCTCCAAACCATCCCAAATTGGCATCTCTACTCTTCAAAACCTAAGTAATCACCAGCCGAATAGATCCTCAACAGTACTTTGGGATGGTATAACTCCAAATTTGTTCCTCTTATGCATGAACACCTAAATTGGTATAACTATTAGTTGTATTTACTTCTCTATTGCACCTATGATATACTATCGATTTAGGGGTTAATGACATCAGCATATAGTTGCTTAAATTTGCCCAAATTTGCTCCTGCTATACATGACCACCTAAATTAGCCAACCATCTTCTCATTTCAAACACTCATGTTACCCCAATCTAATTCTTAAAACCCTGATTTTACCCCACTCTAATTCCGACAACCCTAGCTTCATCCCACAAACAAACCAATCACAGAAAGCCAAAAACTGTAAAGAAGTTAGAAATCTATACACCTAAAAACTGATACTTGATTCCAAGTTAATACCAGCAAGAGAACCCAACAGGCATTACTCAAATCACTCAGCTCAAACAGAAAAGAAAACAAGATCAAAAGCAAAGCAAAAATCAGCAAAAATATAGGTCCAACTCAAATAGCAGTAGCATACAAGCAAAGTTTAATCAAATGGTCATAATGTTTTAGTAGCACAAAATAAAGATGTGTTCATATTTGTTTCAGTGGTTCTTCAAGTAGCACAATGAAATGCAGCAAGAGATAAATATTCAAGCTCAGCAAATAAAAAAAAACTCTAATGTGGCTCCATATCACAAACAAGGATGAAGAGTCAAAGAGAAAGCATACAGATACAAATCTTCCATTTCAAACAGCTTGCCAGTACACATTCGAAGAACATTTCATCGGATTCGAAATAAAAACATCAAAAGCGGCACAATTATTCATAATACCATGGCAAATCTATCCAACTTACTTGGATTCGAAAGAAGAAATAGCTCATCTAGACAGGGATTTCTTGTACTTGGCTACCTCTCCTTCGTTAGGGAAGAATCCCATGAGCCTTCCCGCAGAGTTCTGGTAAGCGTACATGAACCCTCCCATCAGCCCAATCAGTCCTCCAGTCACCATTGATGGCCCCCGAATCCCAGGCTTTATTCCTAAACAACACCGATTAAACAGGGGAACTTGAACATCAAAGCTCCAGAAATGTGAATAATTTCATAAACGGAGCAGAAATCACGGGGATCACCTGAGAGATAGCCGACGGTGACTGAGATTCCGGTGATGGTGGTGAACCGGAGGTAATCGAGAGTGTTGAAATTGGAAACGACGGTCGTGAACGGAGGATTCCGATCTATCACTGGATATTCCGGCTTCACAGAGGCCGTGATGTCGGTGTTCATCTTCGTCTTCTTCCTCGCTTCTCTGCCCTTTGAACAGTGAACTTCCCAGCACAGCTCGCCTTTGTTTCTCTTTCTGGTTTTGGATCTTCGCTTCCTACGCCCAATCCAATGATGGCCGGGCCCGCTAACTTGTTGGGCTTTATCTTTCTCCTTTACTTATTGGGCTCGACCCAAAACTTAAATTATTCGTCGGACTTGTGAGATCAACGTATGTCCTTAAATAATAAGTGTCCAAAAAAAATGCAATTTACAATTCAAAGCTTAAATTATTAATTTTAGAATAATAAAATCTTACACTATTAATTGTAAATGAACTATGGTAATTTTTCAATCTGATGTGTTCGTCAAATTTGATTATTTAGGAATAGTATTGCTAAATTCGCTCATCTTTTTGTTAACTCTCTTCGTCTAGAAATGTTCTTCACGTGTTGACTTGACACGCTTATTAAGGAATAAGTAGTAAAAGAGTATCAAATTTCTAAAAATTAAGTACTATAAATATTTAGAGCTTCTTTTCTTATTAAAAAACAATAAAAAAAAGTAGACTAGTGGTAAAGTAAAATGATATTATTGAAATTTATACTTAAAAATTAGACTAAAAAGAAATATAAAAAATATTTCCGCACCAAAAAGGAAAAATTGGAAGAACATTTTCGGACGGAGTGGGTACTCTATTATTATTATTATTATTGATTATTAAATTAATGCGTGTAAAATTCAAATGACATCTAAGTCAAATACAGTGAGTACTCTAATATTATTATTACTGATTATTAAATTAATGAGTGTAAAATTCAAATGACATTTAAGTCAAATACACTTTGATATTATAACAACGAATTAACCAACCAAATCTTCAAAGTTATAATTGAGAGACATAAAAAATTTAATCCAATGTGGATGGGCCTAAAAAGAGAAATTGACTATAGGCCTTTATTTGTGCCACGTATTTACTTTTGCACTATGATTGCAAGGGTGTGTGATTTTACCCACGCAGTAAAAAAAATAGTAATGTCTCACATGGAAAGGGAGATTTGGGTGATAATGACAGTGATGAATCAACAATAAAGGGACATCTTCCAAAACCCAAATTGATAATTACTCCCAGTCAATCTTATAATATCAAAAAATAATAATAATTAGAACTAAAACATGTTTCATATGCTAAAATATGAGTGAATGATTATTATATTGACGTAGTGTTAAATATAGAATCTCTGTCACGCCTATATGAGTTGTTTACTTTCATCAACTAACATACGGGTATCGAAGCATTGACCACTTAAAGGATACGAGTCCAAATTTCATTGCCACTTAATTTTAATAGAATTACACCGTAATATATGTTCACATGCCACATTTGAGCGAAAAACAACTATTGCACGTGACCACTCAATAAGTAATGTGGTTTACAGAGAAGTATTTTAAAATTTTTTATTTTTGTTATATATTTTCAATGAAGAACATTTTGTCTTGTATAAATTCAAACAATTTTTTTGACGTGAATTGTTTTTATTATACTTCCTCCGTCCTGTGAAACATGGAACATTTGCTTTTTAGGAGGGATTTAAGGTAGTGTATTTTGGTATTGAATTTCCAAAAATATCCTTTGATGTGATGGGTAAAAGTATAATTTGATGGATATATTATTAGTAAAAAAATATGATGTGATAGTTAGAGTATGAAAAAGTAAGGGGTAAACGTGATTTTTTAATAGAAATGAGAGTACAAATCTAGTTAACAAAATAATATATAGAGCTTAAATAACATTATTTTATTTACATGTATTTATAAAAATGAAATGGGAATTACGATTTGGATTCATTTTCACTGTACTCTTGATCTAAGTCCATTTGATAAGACCTTAAATGATTGAATGAAGTGGCTGGTTTTTTAGATTACCACTCCAATAATTGAATGGACCGATAATTGGTGACATTTTTTTATTATACTCCCCTTTTGTTTTTTTTGAATTCCCTAAAACACTTTCACTTTCTATTAAAAAACCACTTTTACCTTTACTTTTTCATACCCTACCTATCACATCAAACTTTTTCCCTAATAACCAAACTATCACATCTTACTTTTACCCATCACATCAAGGGCAAAATTGGAAAGTCAACCAAAAATACACTTTCTTTATTTTTGCCAAAAGTCAAAAGTGGAAGGGTTTAAAGGAACGGAGGGAGTAATACTACGCTTTTGGAGAAATACAAAGTAAATTTTTTGTATTAGCGTAAAATACAGATGACAAGTACTTAATGACTAAAATTTACTCTCTCCGTCTCTCTGAGTATTTGTTCAGTTTTAAATTTTTTCGGTTAACTGTTGTCAACCTTTGACCTATAATTAAATAAAATATATATTGTATATTAATTATATACAATAATATTTTGAAAATACTCCCTCCGTTTCTTAAAACCCTTCCTCTTTTATTATTTTTGTTTTTCTTAAAACACTTCTCCTTTCTATTAAAAAACCACTGTTACCCCTACTTTTTCATACACTACCTATCACATCATACTTTTTCACTAACAACTAAACTATCACATTTTACTTTTACCCATCACATCAAGGACAAAATTGGAAAGTCAACTACAATTTAACACTTCCTTATTTTCTCTCAAAGTCAAAAAAACTATTTACTAATTTTAATCAGAAAAAATTAAAAATGGATAAATATATATCCAAGAACGAAGATAATATTTAATTTGACTTGGAAAAGTCAAACTCGTGAAAGTGGCAAAAATATCATATAAACAACCAAAGGAAATCTCACTCTATCTTTTTGCATTATCGGTAAATCATGCCCTTCTATTAATTAAGTACCATCATCTATAAATAGCAAGAAATTCATCTCTTCTTCACTCCCCTGCCCAATTCAACAATGCTCTCTCACTAGCTCCCAAAACATTATTGAGAAATAACTCCAAAATTAATGTCTTCAACTTCAAAACCCATGAAGAAAGTGACCAAAATATTAGTTTCCGTGTCTCTTTTCTCCATCATAGTTTCTTGCAGCAAGCCATGGCGTTTGCAACCCACCCTTTTCTCACTCCCAATAACCCTTGACAAGAACTACATATTCCTCATCTTCAACGGGATCCTCGTACTCCTCGCCCGAACCTCTGGGGGCATTATCGGAAACTCGTACGCGAAATTGCTCGACTCCTTGTCGCGCAATGAATTCGATCGCTGCGACCATCTTGATGGTTCCACAAGTTTGATCATGATGGTGATGGGAGAAAATGATCATGAAGAGTTGTTGGTCATGGGAGAATGTTGTAGGAGTGATAGTAATCACATTGTGGAAGGAGTGGTTGAAAACACTCCGGTCTCAGAAGAGTTGTCCAGAGATCAGAATTGCGCGGGTGGTGACGATGACGAGGAGCCTGCTGAAAGCGATAACGTGATTTTCATAGAAGAAAGAGAAGTGGCTGAAGAGAGAGAGAGGTTAAACAAGTTAAGCGCGGATGAGTTGAACAAGAAGTTTGAGGAATTCATTTGGAAGATGAAGGAAGACATTAGGATTGGAGCACAATCACAATGCTTGACATTGGTCACTTGTTGAGGACAAAAAATGTAAGAACAAAAAATATTACCCATAAATATATTGTTTGTGTAAGATATACTTTGTGTAATGTATAAGGTCATGTACAACACTTGGTGTTTTTGTTATACATGGTGTGTACATGTAGTCTCTGTTTTTGAAAGGAGATTATCTTTCTTTCTTTTTTGTTTTTCTTTTAAAAATGCTTCCGCCAATATATCCAAATATATGGTGTACATGTTCTTAGCTTCTTCCAGTCTTTAAAAAAGTTCATCTTTTATTTTTTTTCATTTTCTTCAAAATACTTCGAGTAATATATCACAATAAAGTCATTACAATATATATTTTTTATTTTGTATTGATATAATGAATTATTAAATGATTTATTTTGTTATTTTCTTCAAAACTAAATATTTGAAAAGTCAAAATATGAACTATTTTTATAAACGGAAAAGTATATATCTATCAAATTAAAGCATGTAACGAATAGTTAGGTTCAAATCTTCAATAGTTCAATCCACGCACAAAATACAGCCATTAAATAGATCAACTTGATTATACATATCAATAGGTCCGCTAATGATTTTAATTATTAATTAATGGACGTGGTTCTCTTAAATGAAATAAATAATTTGATAATTTATATCCCAAAAATGATAGAGGATGAATAAGAAATTGATTCTCATAGAAAATTCGTAATTTATAGGCCAAAAATGATATAGGATGAATGACAAATTGATTTTCATAGTTAACTCGTTTATAGGAGAATATTGGGTAAGGATTGCAATTTTATTGAACTAACATTCTATTATTGTTTTTACGTGTTGTTTAAAATTAGCTCATTATTTTTTATGGAGTTAACTGTCATTAGTCTCTAATTACTTGGGATAAATTTTAAATAGAACATTGTGTAATAAAGTGTTAATGACCACTTAATCACCATTAACATGCCACTAATATCATGATGATAATTAGAGTAATGCTAGAGTCACAAACAAAACATTCACAAAATTCACAAACTTACCAAATATGTAAAGTAATGGGTTCAAATAATGGTGTCAAATAATTAAAAAATAAAAACTAAAGTACATAAATAGTAAGATTGTGTATTTTGTGAGCATTTTGTTTGTGACTCTAGCATTACTATGATAATTATTAGAGACTCATTCTCTTGGAGGTTACAAACCTCCTTGCTTTGCCTATTTAATTAAAAAGGTCTCCAAGCTCTTTTTGTGGGAACTCCATATGCGAGAGAGGAGAAGAAGAAAGAAAAAAATGTTCTTTCTTTCTTACTATTAGGGGTGGACACGGTACCGGTACGGTACCGTGACCGGAAACGGTACCGCCGGTACCGGTACCGTTACCGTCGGCCGGGACGGTCCACCGGTTCCGGGAACCGGTACCGGTACCGCCCACTCCGGTACCGGTTCCGGTTCCGGTACCGTAATTAATTTTTTTTTTATTTTTTATTTCATTCTTTCCTTTATTAATTTCATTTTTAGAGTTTTTTATTTCATCTTTTCTTTTAACAATTACACATTTACAATTCTACACTTTAAAAATTTAATAAAAAAGCAAAAAAAAAAGAAATTATGGGTGGCCGAAATGGTACCGGAACCGGAACCGCCGGTACCGGAACCGGAACCGGTACCGGCCGATCCGGTACCAAGGGGTGGCGGTACCGGAACCGGCGGTTCCGGAACCGGAACCGTCCCGGAACCGTACCGTGTCCACCCCTACTTACTATTAAAGAGAGCTTATGGTTTCCTGGCCAAATTTTTGGCGACTCGCTTCAAATTTTTGGTTGTCAATGTTACGTTGTTGTTCTTCTTCGTTAGTATGTGGTTTGTCTGTATGTACTATCACCACACACGATCACAAATTAGTCTTGGAAGGAGAGTGCTTGGATTTTTCGAGTATCACCACTACTACTTTGTTTTTTTAATTTTATAGTTCCGGCGACTCTATTTTCTTCTACGGTGTTTTTTTTAATTTTATAGAAATCAATCTGAATAGAATTAAAACATAGAATAAAGTACCAAGATCGAAGTTTCATATTCCCTCCGTCCCTAAATAAAGTTCCATTTTTGACTTTTTGAGGATTTAAGGGATGGATATTTTGGTGTTGACTTTCCAAAAATACCCTTGATGTGATGTGTTAAAGTAAGATGTGATAGGTAGATTATTAGTAAAAAGGTATGATGTGATAGACTGATAGGTAAGGTATGAAAAAGTAAGGGGTAAAATGGGTTTCTTAAGGAAAAAGAGAAATTTATTTAGGGACAAAGAAAAAACGAAAGAGAAACTTTATTTAGGGACGGAGGAAGTATTTTTCTTCTTAAAATACGAGTTCGCACTGTGGTCATGTGGTGATAATGTGGCACTGTACATGTGCACATTGGTATACTTTTTGGTAATGTGTAGAACCATGTTTGGTAATATAATGCATTTTAACTTCTATTTCGGGAATAAAAATGTGGAAGTCCTATTTTGGTATATTTTTAATAGTTTTCTCCTACTTTAGTCATTTTCCCGTTTTTGCTAGTTCATAGTGATCTCGCTGCATTCTATCCCATGCAGCAATGTACTCGCTTGTGTTCTGGTTCAATTAGTGGTTTCACTTTTGCATCGATTTTACAACTGATGCAAAAATCCTTGCCCAGATCAAGCTTGCGCCATTTCTAAAAAGGGTTTTTGTATCGGTTATTTGGGAATAACCAATGCAAAATCCTCTTCCCAGAACTGACGCCATTTCGGACGAGGTTTATCGCATCGGTTCTTTCAAAATAACCGATGCAAATAGTTTTTTCTTACATAGCTGCAGCTTGTACGAAGCAAATTAAACAAACTTGCAATTTTTAATAGAATGCACGGAATCAGACATACCAAAAAAAATGAACATTTACATCACTTACACGCACAGACCAAAACCAAAAAATATCAAATAGCACCACAGCTAGAAGTCAAGCAACAAAGTACAAACACATAAAACTTACACTAGTTTATCAAGAAAACTCCCTCTAAAACTCTCTCATTTTTGCAGTGATTATTGGTGGCGTTAGCCAAAGAGGAGTAGACTGAGAGATTAAGGCTTTGTTTGGTAACAACGTTTTCGATTAGTGTTAGCGTTTTAGATAAAATTTTAACGGTACAGATTAATTCTGAAAACGCTAACGCTAAAGCCTACCGTCGGATAGCTTTTTTAAAACGCTAACGCTAATCTCTGATACCAAACGGGGCCTAACTTAGGGCTGGGCCTGTTTAGTGAGAAAATCAGAAATAGGTTTCAATGTCTTAGATATTGAATTCTCAAGTTTGGTGTTTGGCGAAACAAAAAGAGGGTTTTGATTTCAAATCTGGAGAAATCAGAAACCTCCAAATACACCGCTTTTTGATGTCTCTCGTATAGCACCGATTTCAACTCCTATTTCTTCTTCAATTAGTCAATCGTATGGTATTTCTTGGACAAATGATGATTTTTTCCTTCTTTTTTTCTTACTTTTCAATGGCTTCTCAGATCTTGAGTAACTTGAACTAAATTTCAGTCTATAAATTTATTATCAGGTCACCTATTTTGTGCTCCCTCCGTCCCGGAAAAATGTGGGAGTTTTAATTTTGGAGAGGAATTTAAGGGGAGTGTATTTTGGTATTGAATTTCCAAAAATGTCCTTTGATGTGATGGATAAAAGTATGATTTGATGGATAGATTATTAGTAAAAAAGGTATGATGTGATAGGTATGGTATGAAAAAGTAAGGGGTAAAAGTAACTTTTTAATAGAAATGAGAAGTGTTTTTTGGGACGGATGAAAAAAGAAAGGAGAAATATTTTTAGGGACGGAGGGAGTATGATTTTGATTTGATTTGATTTCTCCCCTCTCCAAACAATTTTGATTCAGATTTCAAAACATATATCATTTCTCTCCGATATCAAAATTCATATCTTATCATATATCCAAAACTCACCAAACAGACCCTATGTTAATTTTATCTAATGAAATTAAAGAAATGATGTGATTAGGTAAAGTATTATCTAGAGAATAAATAATAGGACACCTTTGAGTGATTCTTTGGTGCACCTTGGGTCCATATTAATCTTGTAGATCTTCTCACATAAACAATCATTTTTTATTCTTTTTAAAAAACAAATGCTTATTTAACTAGTAAAAAAAAATACTTATTTTGCTCATATGTAAGTCTATGGTGGACCTTAAGTCTACCATAGAATTTGACGACGCCCTTTTACTACAGTGAGTTTTTTTTCATTTTGAAACTTATATACCAGGTATTCCCACCATCCCTGAAACATTTCTTTTCTTTTTTCATATGTCCTAAAAAGTCAATTTTACCCCTACTAATTCTTAACATGAATATCTCATCTGTTTGTTATATTAATATACTCATCAAATCCTAGTTTAACTCATCACATCAAAAGACTTTTTTAGAAACTCAATGCCAAAATACACTCTTCTTAAATCTCTTAAAAATAAAAATCTCTCATTTTTTTAGAGACGGGAGGAGTATGAAATTTCATTTTAAATTTTTTTGTACTCATCAAAAATGATGTTTTATTGACTTTCCTATTAGAGTTAAAACGGGCAAATTATTATATGCACCTGAGGTTCATAGTGCGCCTTCATATATGTTAAATAAGTATTTTGAAAAATTGAAATAATACGGAGTATGTGAAAAAGTCCATATGGACCTTAGGTAGTGCACCATAGAATCACAGACACTAGTTAAAACAAGACTCATCCACTTGATTTAGACAAAGTGGTACGTACAAGTAACATTTTTCAATTGTACTTTTGGCGTTATTTAGACATCATTTTCAATTTACTATTTTATATAAATATCAATTGTATAACTATAAATTGATTTTTTGGGAACGCTAAATGACCTAAATTTAAATGTTGTTGTAAGATATTTTCTTCAAAATACTAATTCTAACCTATAATATTGTTGCCAAACGGATTCTTTATCATTTCGCTAATATAAACTAATCCAATAATCTAGCTCATTTTAATTTATATTTAATTCATGGTTAAATGGTGTCATAGTT